ATCCTGTTGTACTGTGTAATGAACTACATCTAAAATTCTAAATCACCCAAATTAACATCTCAAATTCAACAAGTGACCAACATAAAAATTGATTAATGGATTGGATTTCGGTGGTGATCGGTTACGCATTTAACCGGCCACCCTGAATGCCCAGCCCTCCACCGGCCAATGCTTACCCTACGTCAATTTTCGGTTAATCAATAATCGACAGTTTTTGGTCATAATCTTCGGTTAGCCGCTAACAGACAACCGAATGGCCAGCCGTAGAAATAGAAGAAACTGAAAATTCACCGCTTTACTCCAATAACATCACACCTATTATTTGCTGATGATATTTGTTTGTTTTTGCGTGCATCATCCTCGGAGTGCTCTCAACTTGTGCAACTTCTGTCCATTTATGAGGCTGCTAGTGGGCAAAAAATAAATTTGCAGAGATCAAATAAATGCTTCAGTTCTAATGTCTCAACACAAGAAGCTTCAGATCTTGCATCTATCTTGGGTGTGGACTCAATTGGGGAACTCGACAAATACCTTGGCCTCCCTACTCAAATTCAACGTTTGAAGGTTCAAACTTTCCGGTTTATTGAAGATGCTCTAGCTCGACGTATTCAAAACTGGAAATCAAAGGCACTCTCATTGGATAGAAAAGAGGTGGTCATCAAAGCGGTGGGATCTGGGACTCCTGTTTATTCAATGCTCTATTTTCGGTTACCTTCTACGGCTTGTCGTTGAATGAATGGGCAGCTCGCGAGGTTTTGGTGGGCAGGTCAGGATAAGGATAGAGGAATGCATTGGATCTCCTAGCCAGCGTTGTGTGTCAGCAAATTCCGTGGAGGAATTGGTTTTCGAGACTTTGATATCTTCAACGTGGCTATGCTCTCCAAACAGGCGTGGAAGATTCTTATGGACCCTCAATTTACTCTGGCAAAGATTTACAAGGCCCTCTACCACGCTCAGTGTGATTTCCTCACTGCCTAAATGGGAACTCGCCCATCGTGGGCGTGGAAAGGGGTACAAGAGGGTCGCAAGCTGCTTCAGAAAGGACTCAGGTGGCAAGTGGGATGTGGCACTGGCATACTAATTCTTCAAGATCCATGGCTACCCCCCCCCCCCCCCCCCCCCCGCACCATCCTCTCCAACTCTGCTCGTCAGACTTGGTAATCCCTAGGTAGCTACTCTTATCCTTCCCATGTCCCGCACTCGGAATTCGGAGCTCCTTCGTTCTTACTTTACTAGTGATAGTGTCAAGTGGATTCTGTCTATTCCGATTCCTGCAACACCTCAACCCGATAGGTTCATTTGGCATTACTCAACTTTAGGTCAGTATAATGTAAAGACAGGTATCATCTTCTGTCGGATGAATGAGTGGAGATGTTTGATTCTCTTCCCCCTCACCTGGATAACAAGTTCTGGAAATTGTTATGGAGTTCACTTGTACCGCCTAAATTAAGGTTCTTCCTATGGAGGGTTGTACGAGGATTCCTTCCATGTTTGGATATCCTTCATGGAAAATTCTTAAGTGCTTCTAATATATGCCATGTGTGTTCAGTAGATATAGAAACCATATCTCACTGTTTGTTTGATTGGAGGGTGGCTCGCGAGGTGTGGCGCCTGGCTGGGAAAGAACAAATACGAGTTACTGTTTCTAACAACCCTGCTGACTTGGCATGGACTCATCTATTTTTCTCTCTGCATATCAATAAGGTGGAATTAGTTGATCTGGTTTTCCTCTCCTGGCGAGTATGGAAAGCCCGGTGATGGTCGTGCTATGAGTGGATATATGTTTCCTCTTCAGCAAGCAGAAGGGGGGACTTCTATTGGGCAACCTCCTAATCCAATCCCCGTCGCAATGTGCCCTTCTGATGGCCTCCTAATCCGCTTTGATGGTGCCACACGAGGAACTACAGGCGGCAGTGTTGGATTTGTTGGCTTCTCGTCTTCTGACTCGATAGTGTGTGCTCTCGGTAAGTACTATGAAGGCTTATTTGACCCATTTTTAGTTGAGTTCCTAGCCTTAAGAGATGCTATGGATTGGTTCTTAACTCAAGGTGTTCGCTCTGTTTGTTTTTGTGGTGATCCGGCGAGCTTTGGCAAATGATATCCACCATGATCGTGGGGGAGCGATTCTAGATGAAGTTCGTTTGATGAAGGCCTCGTTTGCGTTTGCTCATTTTGTTTTCTCTCCTCGTAGAACTAATAGGAATGCCCATTGCGTGGCGAAAATGGATATTGCATCGGTAGCTCAGCACTTGGCTGACTGCCACTATTTATTTTTCAACTCTTTGTAATTCCCTACCTATTAAGTATTCCATTCAATGAGAGCCAAGACGGGCAGAAAGGGGTGGATGGTACTAAAAGTGGACCTAGCCAAAGCGTACGATCGAATCAAATGGAGTTATGTTCAGGATACTCTATAGGCAGCAGGAGTCCCCGACAACTTCATAAAACTGGAGATGGAGTGCATAACATCAGCACAAATGAGGATACAGTGGGATGGTGGCTTATCGGACGAATTTACCGCATCTAGGGGACTACAGCAAGGCTTCCCGCTCTAGCCGTACCTATTCACGCTCTGCATGGAGCGGTTACGCCATCTTATCAGAGATGCAGTGGATCGTGGTAGCTGGCAGCCTATCAAAATAGCTCATTCAGCACCAGCTTTATCACATCTGTTCTTTGCAGATGATCTAATTATGTTTGGAGTGGCCTTGGATATGCAAGTTCAGTTGATTAAAACCATCTTGGAAGAGTTCGGATTCGCATCAGGACAACAGGTCAGCAAGGCCAAATCCCGAGTCTTCTTCTCAAGTAACGTCACCACGGAGTTAGCTGCGGAGCTCAGTAATGGCCTGGATATTCCTGAAACAAAGAACTTGGGTAGATATCTCGGAGTCCCGGTCATCCACGACCAGGCGTCCAAGGCAACCTTTGTGGACCTGATTGACAAGATTGATTCACGTCTCGCTGGATGGAAAGTCTCTACGCTCTCTCTAGCAGCCCGCATCACCCTGGCACAGTCGGTCCTAGCAGCACTGCCAGCTTATACGATGCAGACAACCTTTCTACTAGCGAGTGTCCCGAGTACATCAATAAGAAGCTTCGCGCTTTTATGTGGGGGAGCTCTGAGTCGGGAAGGAAGATCCACTTGATTGATTGGCAAATGATTTGTCGACCACGCATAGAAGGCGGGTTGGGTATGCGTGATGCAACCAAGATGAATGACGCTTTCATGCTCAAATTGTCTTGGAGAATTTTTGTGGAGCCGGACGCACTGTGGGCTCGTATAGTTCGAGCCAAGTATTTGAAGCAAAGTATCCATGGTTTGGAGCTGAGAACGACGGGCCGAGTTTCGAACATGTGGAGAGGGATTCTTCGAGTCATCCACCTGCTCCCCGAGGCGACGGTTTGGAATGTACGGAACGGTCATCAGGTGAAGTTCTGGACGGATAGATGGCTCCATGATGGGCCATCCCTTGTTGATCTTGCCCCGAACCTGCCGACTGTAGCAAGAGACATTCCAGCATCTGATATGGTCTTAAATGAGGCTTGGAATGTGGATTACCTAAGGGCTTTCTTACCGGAGGAAGTTGTCTCTCAGATCCTACTTCATGACATCCCGTCAGGAGTGAAGCCGGACGTCCCCACTTGGCGTTTCACCCCTACGGGAGATATCTCCGTGAAGACGGCTTATGAGTTGATTGAGGATGCAGAACAAGTGGGAGCGGGACACCACGAATGGAAGGTGATTTGGAAGTTGCTAGGTACACAAAGGATCCACACTTTTTTCTGGCTTGCCTTCCACGATGATTGTTGACAAATGTGGAGAGAAGGAGGCGCCACCTCTCTAACGGGGCGTCCTGCCAAATTTGCAGCGGGGGTGATGAATCATTGATCCATGTTTTGAGAGATTGCTCGTTCGCTCGTGGGGCATGGGCAGGGCTGCTCAGTGAAGAACCCTACGGAAGCTTCTTTCAAGGAGAGTTCAACAGTTGGGCTATGCACTACCTTACAGGTAGAGGTAAAGACCTCGATGCTACACTCTTTGCCGTGATGTGTTGGCTGCTGTGGAAGAATCGTAATAAGTTTGTGTTTGAGCATACTTTGGCGCCCTTTGATAAGATGCAAAGTGAGGCTAGGAGACACCATAAGCAGATCACAGAGGCCTTTGTCAAGGCTGAGCACACCTTCGGCGTCCCAGGGATGGCTGAGAAGAAGATGATATCATGGAAATTACCAGCAGAGGGCTGGGCAAGCATTAACACGGATGGATCAGTGATCCTGGCACTTCAAAGCTCTACAGCAGGCGGTGTAATCAGAGATGACAGTGGAAATTTCCGGCAGGCTTTCACGATGAATTTAGGAGGATCTATCACCCGACTGAGCTGTTGGGTATGGCACAGGGGCTTCGCTGTGCCTAGGAGGTGGGGATTCGAAAGGCAATCCTCCAGACAGACTCCAAAACAGCCAACCATCTCCTCGAGTCGGCAACCTCTACTCATCCTCATTTTATGGTCGTATCGGAGATTAGGCGTATTCTGCAGCGCGATTGGCAGGTACAGATCGAGCATGTCTTCAGGGAGGGAAATGCGGTGGCAGATTTCCTTGCTTCAATCGGCCACTCCATTCCTCCGGGAGTTCCCATCATCAATCAGCCTAGCATAATGCTCAATTACTGGCTTCTATTTCACCGGATAGGGGTTGAAACCCCCCGCTTTGTAACAGGTTGAGGTTTGGGTGCCCTTAGCACCCTTTTCCCACAAAAAAAAATTCTACCTAAGTAAAAAAAAGGGCAATGAGTTAGTGCCTGGTAGATGGTACGGTAGGGAGCCACTAAAACGAAATTAACAAATAATAAAATTTTACAAAAGGAAAATAAATAGCATAACAATGGTAATCTGAAAATCTAGTGGGCCTCATAAAAAATCTAGTGGGCCTAGGCGAAGTTGTATGGACTTGCAATATCCATCTGCCCAAAGCTGGCTTAATAGGGAGAAGATCGTATAACAACACTCTATTTATTGTCACCGTAACAACACGGTTAATTAAGCGCAAAACTGGAAACTTACATAAAAATAATAAAAATAAAAAATGACCCTCATTTACGCGTTTCCTCCTCCGCTCTGTTCTCCATTGTTGTCGTTCTCCTCCGACTGCATATGAGATCCCCAAATTTCAACTCTCATCTGACGGAGAAACCCTACTCCGACGCCGGCGAATGTCAAGTACAAAGAGACCGATTCTTCTCCAACGGCGTTTCTCCTTCGCGTCTCATCATCGACGGCTGATTTGCTCGGCACTTGAATCGCGGCTTGCGAGGCGGTGATGACGAAACCCCATAAATGATGAATCAACTGTCTCAGACGACGAACAACATAAAGGGTTCTACTGCTCCATCGATCTCGATTGACGGATCTTGTGCGCATCACCCGCTGCGCATTCTCCCACGCCATTTATCCCTCGCCGATGACCTCTGTCGTTGTAGATCTGGTGGCGGCGGCGCCTCGCAACGCCGAAGGTATCGATTCTGAGTGGGAGCATCCCGGCTGGGATTAGGAATTTGACAACACTCGTCAGTTTGGATCTGTACTTTAACCGATTTACTGGCCAAATCCCATCTACTCTGGCCAATTTGCACTCTTTGAGATTCTTGTTAAGTTTCATTCGTCCCCTTTGCCATGCCTCCCAAATTCTAACTGATTTACTACATGTGGATTATAAAAGAGCAAAAACTTTTGTTGGGTTGCAGGAGATTGAATAACAACAAGCTACAGGGCAAGCTACCGGTTGGTTTTTGTATTGAACGATTTGCATAATCTTTTCGAGTGATCTAAGATTATTCTATTACCCGTTTGACGATTAGTGACGATTCAGGAAGCTAAATCCTTTCCAGAAATTTGCTAAAACATATAAAAAAATCCCACAAAGCAAATCATAAATATTTTGAAAAGCACACCAGAAACCCCCAAATGCAAACCACAAACACGGTAAAGCAAACAAAAAACTTCCTAATGCAGACCACAAATATATTAAAACAAACCAGAAATCTGGCAAAGCAAACCACAAAAGTTTCGAAAGCATACCAGAAACTTCTTAATGCAAACTAGAAACCTCCGAATGCATACCACAAATCTCCTAAAACAAACCACAAACCTCACAAAGCAAACCACAACATTTGCGAAGCACACCAGAAACCTCCTAATGCAAACCACAACCACTGTAAATCAAACCACAAAAAAGCAAACCATAAACGTCCTAATCCAGACCACAAATATATTAAAACAAACCAGAAACTCCTCAATGCAAACCACAAATTTTTTGAAAGCAAACCAGAAACTTCTCAATGCAAATCACAAATACAATAAAGCAAACCAGAAACTTCTTAATGCAAACCACAAACACGATAAAACAAACCACAAAAGGCATACAAAAATATGAGAAACCAAACCATAAATCTCACAATGCAGACCATAACATCCGGTGGTCGTTGGCCGTTGACCGGTCAACGAAAACCGTTGACCGGACAACGAAGTTGGTTGACCAAACTCCGATGACCTTCAGTGAGTAGATTCCGGCGCCGATAGGCATATTCCGGCCCCGATGACTAGATTCCGACGCCGGTAAGCATATTCCGACCACGATGAGCATATTCCGGCGACGGTGAGCATATTCCGATGACAAAATAGCATATTCCGGCGGCAAAAAGCATATTCCGGTGATCGTGACCAAATTCTGGCGACCAAAATTTTGGGACGAAAAATAAAAAATATTTATTTATTTTATTTTAAATTATTATTTAAACATATTTTTGATAATGACAATTATACCCCTGCTCTGATTTTACAGTAGGTCAACTCATTTAATAAAAAATCATCACAACTCTAGCTTCCTATTGGTTGCAGACTAGTGTTGTTACAATAACAACACAAGGAGTGTTGTCATAGTAACCGGTCGTTAAAAATTATGTTAGGCACATTATGCGAACTTAGTCAAGATCCAAGGTGATTAAAGTCCGAAAACCAAAATTGATGCCAATAAACCATGCTGCCAAATAACTAGTGATGGATAATTTCGGTCCCCCTTTGTTTTTAGGGTTAATATGAGTGTTATTAAAGCCGAGTCGCTCAGCCCGACTGGTAAAATCGTCACCCGGTCACAAAATCAGTTCGGAACTATCTGAAAGTTGCTCCGGTTTTATGTAGCGGTTGACGAGCGGCCGAGGCGGTTAACCGCTCGAGTCGATCGAGCCGCTCGTCCGGTTTTTGCCATTCAGCCGTTAAATTTAAATAAAAAAATTACAGAAAATTGAAATAAACAAAAAACGTCGAACTCTCAAAGTGAATCATTATTTCCATTTCACAATTTCGAAGGAAAGAGACGAACTCTGATTAAGAAATGTCCACTATTAAAACTGATAACATTTATTAGGTACCAGTTCTCTAACGATTTTTAAACAATCTAATGTCGGTTAGACCACTAAAATACGAGCCATTCGCATTATCGGGTCATGCTCAGATCGGTTCTGACAATATTGATTAATACCTTATTCACCATCGTCCTCCTCTGGCTCAAAATCGATCGCCTCTGCCAGCAACAATTAACAACACATCTGGCGTTGCAATCTTACACGTGGCAGCTGCTAATGACACATGGGTTTGGCTTCGGCCCTCACGCACAGTGACGCGATGCCCGCGTGGACACCGGCGCCGACCAAAAGGCTGGAAGGAGAAGGACTGTAGTGATGTGGCCGGAGTGCAGGTAATATACGAGGCGGAGGATGAGCTTGATCTGGAAGCAGCAAAAGAGTTCTTGCGTTGCGGGAGTAGTCCCTTTATGGGTAGATAGAGTTGTGAGTTCCCATGGCAGAGCCTTCATCCTGAAATTCAAACACAGGGGGAAAAACAGAGAAACCAGAAGTAATATACCATAGACCAATGATGAATGAAGGGGAAATCACCAATTGATTTGGAGGCTTCCTTGTGATGCTGATATTTGGGGCTATTGAAGTTGAGTTACCCAGAAAGCACGAGGCAACCTAGCTCACTAACCAAGCTGAAACTCTTGTTCTCTCTTCTTTTTAAGAAGCCGGCCGGCCCACCGTGACCCCGATCGGATTAATTGCCATCCTCTCCCGTCGCCGCATCTTCCAGCAAACCGTCGTCGTCTCTTCACTAGGCAACCCCCGAGTTCTCTCTTCTCCAATCCCCCTTTCTTCTCCTGGGCAAGTTACAGTCTCCGCCCGGCCGGCTGCCATCGATACTGAAGGTACCGCCGATCAGCCCGCCCCAACTTCAAGCAATTGAATTCTTTCCCAATGAAGGGACAAGAAGATAAATCGTAGGGAGGATAAGCCTCGTCCAAAACCCAACTCCCTTCGTACAGATTGAGATTGCTGCACAATGGTTTTCTGCAGAGAGATTTTGGTTTCTCATTCTTGTGGCTCCGGCGTAACTCCAGGCGGGCTTTGATATTGACTTATTCCAGCAAGTCAATTTCCCTGTGCTATTTAACATCCATAACCAGGCGGGCTTCCTGTCTAGGTTCTTTTCGGTTACATTTTGTGGGCGTGCTTACAGCTTACTTAATGTCATGCCCCATTCCACCTTGTATATACTAAGCTCAACCCGAAAGACCAATTACGTCTCCTTATACATGCCGGCGGAGAAATTCTTCTTCCCCGTCGGCCCACCTTTGGCGTAACGTCCACTCTGCAGCTTCCTCCCGCTGGTCGCCCAGCCCCATCTAGCCCTCTTCAGCTTGGTCGGAGCCCCCCATTTCCTGCAAAAGGTAAGTGGCTTTTAGTACGAGACCAATGGTACAGAAACTCAGAAAGTGAGAAAAAATGAGTATGTACCTTCCAGTTGGTTCCTTAGCAGCAGCTGCATCTCTGCCACCTTGGGCTTTATTCTTCCCAGCTGCAGCTTGACCTGAGACAAGAAAATAGATCATATCAGATTGCTAACTAGCCTGGTGCGGTCACCCATTTCAAAGACGTGCAATTCGATTTGGTAAAATTCATATCACAGACCAATTCCACAAAAAAAAAAGGCCATTAACTCTAACTCCATCAGAATTCAGCCCAGTTTTCTCCCCAATAACACCACAGTGTGACAATTCTTAGAGAAATCACCATTCCAGCAGAGTATCAACTTCTATTTTCTCCCAATTGAACACCAAGGCATCATCAATTCTAATAGTAAACGAATTCCAGCAGCATTAAAATCTATTTCCTCACACCCAACACCAAATCGGGAGAATCTTACCTCGCAGTGACCGCTCCATCTCCTCTACGTTTTCTTGGGCTAGAATTCCTTCCAGATCATTTTCCGCCATCTGAAAAGGAAAAGAGGAGAATTGACTCCGGTCAATGAGCTAGAAACAACAAAAGAAAGAAAACTCATGAATACATTCGGTCCGTGAACAAAAGAGGACTCCGGCCGGTGAGTTCCCGAAGTCAGAGATATCATAATGGACTCCGGCCGGTGATTTTCAAGAAAACGAAGATAGCAGAATATACTCCGGTCGGTGAATTAGACTCCGGTCAGTGGATTTACCGGAAGGAACGAAGCAGCGAACTGGAAGCACGTTCGCCTGAAAGAGCAAGAAACCTAAACAGGACCGATCCGCTTCTAAACGACTGAGAAATGGAATCTCGAATTTGTTCCATGAGATTCATATAAATCCCGAGGATGAACGACGGATCGGCGTTCAGATTAGGGAAATGCAACCAGGAAATCGCGCAAGAATCAAGAAATAAAGCGCAGAATTAGACTGCGGTCAGTGAATTGACCAAAAGGAACGAAGCAGCGAACGGAAACACGTTAGCTTGAAGCTTGAAAGAGTAAGAAACCTAAACAGGACTGATCCGCTTCTAAACAGTAAACACCTAAAATGGCTGGGAAATAGAATATCGAATTCATTCCATGCGATTCAGATAGATCCCGAGGATGAACGACGGAACGGCGTTCAGATTAGAGAAACGCACCAAGGAAATCGCACAAGAAAGGTAACTAGAACTCTCTACCGGCGGCAAACTTAACATCCGAGTTCAGAGAGAAACATAATTCATTCAACTAGATTTAGATTGAACAAGAGAAAAGCAAGCTACGCAATCATTCAATTCCACTAAGAACTAACGATTTACTGGAAGGCTAGACTACCTACTAGAAACTCAAATTGAAGCAGAGAGAGAGAAATTGCCTTCAATCAGCTTGACGTGAAGCTACCGCTGCTGTTTGGATTCCGAGAAACTTTGCAATGTGTTTGGCTTCTGAGAAAATTTGCTGTGAGTAGCGAATTTGAATTGAGCGGATAGTTGGGTTTTGAAAGCGCGGGATGAATATATATTATATAGCAGTCTAGCAGAGCGCTTTTCTGAAGAAAAAAAAAAAAAAAAAAAAGCAGCAGAGGTCTTGGGGTCGTACGCTCCGTTTTGGATGAAAGGGGTAATGGTCTAATGGATGCTTTTTAAAAGTTGTCAAATCGGTTTATGTTGGTTCATACGGTTAAATAGAAAATCTATAAATATGAAAAATCATTAACATCAAATAAAATATGTATAAAACATATTTCAATACAATCTACATTAATATTTAAATAAAATATAATATTTCAAACAAAATAACAAATATCCATATTTAAATACTACAATTGACATCAACAATTATACATTTATACATGAATCCAACAAATAATATCAATATTTAACTTTATAATTCATGAAATGCATTTCAATTTAAAATTTTTGTTATTTAAATTCACTACAATGATGTCATTTTCTTTAGAAAGCATATGTGTTATTATTAGGGTGTTCAAATTGTGTGGTTACCATGGTAATCATTTTAACCGATATTGTTTTGATAAGATGGTTTGGTTTGGTCAAGCTTTTAGCTCATCTGGTTTTAGTTTGGTTCAGACACTCCTAACTAATTACACTAATTAACCAAATAAGTAATTAGCCATTTTTAATATATTATGGGTTAAATACACTTATATATCCAAAACTTTCACGGTTGTGCCAATAATATCCAAATTTCCCGAAATACCACTTATATCCAATTCCTTCACATTCTTTAACGGTGTTTTTGGATATACAAGTGTATTTAACCAAAAATATATTGGAAAATGGATAGATTTGGCAAAGAACAACTTTAAAACATGGATACAAGTGGTATTTTGGGAAATTTGGATATTATTGGCACAACCGTGAAAGTTTTGGATATACAAGTGTATTAAACCTATATTATGTACACATACTTAATGCTTTGCACAACACTCAAGAATCAAGCATTCCTTTCTTTTGGATTCATCGACCAAATGAAACTCATTATTGTTCTTATACTATATTTATTTTTGTAAATTGTAGACAACAACATATTGTCACTAATAGTTTTTAAGAGACTAGAACAATTCACATAAACACACCTAATTCATTAACCACATGTTGGATGAAAAGATGAAAGGGAAGAGTTTTTATCCTCTAATAGTTTTTAAGAGACTAGAACAATTCACATAAACACACCTAATTCATTAACCACATACCATTAGCATATATTTGTGCTAGATGGCTACTTTCAATAACTATTAAATAATTTGTTAGCCGCATGTATTTATGTTAAGAGTTAACTATATGTGATTGTTATGGTTTATTAATTATATAAATTACACAATGATTTAGGGTTAATATCTTATTTTGGCCTAAACTATGACCATATAATCAACTTTGGCCCGTGGTTTCAGAAATTAACATCCTGGCCTCAACTATGCAACATATAGACTCAATTGGCCCAACACATGATTTGTCTGTCAATTTGGACGGTTAACACCATTGACCGTTAGTCAACATGTCATGTCATTGTCTCGTCAGACTAAAAATCATTAAAAAATTTAAATTCAAATTATTTTCCTAATTTATTTTATTTATCATTATCAAATTATTAAATTAACCAAAAAAATAAAATTAAAAATAATATAAATAAATATATTTTATTTATCTTTTGAGTAATTTGAAAATAATAAATTTTATAAATTAACCAAAAATTATCAAAAATAATTTAAAAAATAATTTTTAATTTTTTGGTTAGTTTGAAAATGATAAATAATAGAAATTAGAAAAATATTTTTAATTTGAATTTTTTAATTATTTTAGGGTGACGAGGTAATGACATGGGGTGTTGACTATCGGTCAACGATGTTGACTGCCCAAATTGACGGTTAAACCATGTGTCGGGCCAATTGAGTCTATTGCTGCATAGTTGAGGCCAAGATGTTAATTTCTGAAACCACAGGCTAAAGTTGATTATATGGTCATAATTCGGACCAAAATAAGGTATTAACCCAATGATTATTAACATAGTTTTTTCCCTCACGTAATGATAATATTATATTATATTGGTTAATCTGGTTAACAAATTAACCAAACCGATTGAAATTTAATTTGATTGTTGTATTAGTTGATCAGTTGGTTATGATATTGTACATTATATTTTGGATATTGGGCGAATTCCACTAGAGCGCCAGAATTATAAAAAAATGTCATTTCTATTCTAAAGTATTCAATATGACAATCCTTGTATAAACTTTCATTATATTAGTGTTGACGGTTAGTGGTCAATACTCAAGGAATTGACGCGTCAACCGAGCTGGTTTTAAAGGTGATGATGTGGCAGTGAGGTTGAATTATATTCACATACAAAGAGAATGTTATATTGGTTAATAGTGATACGGTTAACGGATTAACCAACCGATTAAACTTTAATTTGGTGAATTTGATTGTTGTGTTAGTTTGATCTGTTTAGTTAAGATATTGTATTTCATGATTAATAGAGTTTAGCCTTAATTGATTTGATAATTACCATAGTTATCATTTGAATATCCAAGTTATTATGCTAATTTATTTCTTTTCACTATTACGATTTAATTCATCACAAAAACACTCTTCTACTATCAAGTTTCATGCTAAGTATTCACGATGATGTTGGGAAAATGATTAATGATCATTTAATGGGAAATTCAACAAAAGGAGCGCTATCCTTTGGTTTTGGTAATACAAGCTATCTATTATTAAAAAAAATTATATTTTCATATTTTGGCATTGGCATATTCCACTATAACAATCGAATTTTAAAAATATTCATATTTTATTCGTAAATAATTAATATAACAAACTTTGTACGAACTTTCATTATGTTAGTATTGAGTATGGGTTAATTGCAAAGTTGGTCACTGGAATTACTAAAAACGTTCAAATTTGGTCACTAAAAATATTTAATTCCATTCATGGTCACTAAGATTAGTGAAACGTTTCAAATTTGGTCACTCTCCGTCCAACTCCGTTAATTTTGTCTGATGTGGCAGTCAATTTTCAAAGTTTACAGTTAACTGACTGACGTGGTAATTAAAAAATAATAAATTAAATTAATTTTTTTCTTTTACAATTTCCAACTCATTTCCAACTATTTAAAAATAAAATTAATTAATTTTTATAACAAACCCTAGCCGTCCTCAAAATTTTCCCACCACCACCAGGGAACATGGGGACGTCGTTGGCTAGGATGGGGTTCAAGGATTTGGATCTTGAGCTTAGGCTTTGAGGCAGATCCGGTCAATAACGAAGAGAACCCCATCACCGTCGAAGTAACAGAAATCCCATGTTCGGAGCCACCCATTGGAATCAATCGTCGCCGATGTAGCCTCCTCATTCTTCAGGTACCCTTTCATCACCGCCGGACTCTTTACCCACAACTCCCATCTTCCGTACGGAGGCAGAGCCTAGCCTGTTTCCGCGTCGATGATTTTAGCACCGAAGCTCGGCAAAAGCCCTCTGCACCTGTCCGGCAGCCGCTTGGCGTCGTCGCCGCACTCGAACATCATTGTGGCACCGCAGCTCTCCGTCAGCCTGTATCCTGCCTGCAATCCCACCCACGGGAACTGCCGCCGGAACTCCTCCTCCAATTCCATGCTCAACGGCGCCGCTCCTCTCCCCACCCGTCGCAACGAGCTCAGATCACAACCCAACGCGGTCGTGTACTTCACCATCACGAGGATCACCGGAGGAACCCTCAGGATGTTGTTGACCTGGTGGGTCTCGATAAATTGGAGCAGTTCGAGGTCGAATCGCGGGATCATGACGGTCTTGATCCCCAGTGTGAATAGTCCCAAGGCGAAGAAGGCTAAGTTGTAGAAGATGCAGAACATCGGGATGAAGCAGATGAAGGTGTCTTCCTCCGCCGACGACGCCTGGACCGATCACTTCATCATCGCCATCACGACGTTGAAGTTGGAGTGCGTCAGGATCACGCCTTTGCTAGCCCCGTCGTCCCGGACGAGTACATAATAACTGTCGCCTCTGATTTGGAAATTGAAATCGCCAGTTCTGTGAAATCTTGCCGGAGCAGCGTCTTTGTGATAAAATTTATTTTTATTTTTAAATAGTTGGAAATGAGATAAAAATTCTGAAAAATTAAACTTTATTTAGTTTATTATTTTTTACTTGCCATGTCACACGTTTAACGGCTAACTATAAAAGTTGACTGCCACATAAGCAAAAGTTAACGGAGTTGGACGGAGAGTGACTAAACTTGAACTATTTAACTAATTTTGAGTGAACAAAATTGAATTTAAATATTTCCGGTGACCAAACATGAACGTTATTTGTAATCTCATTGACCAACCATGCAATTAACCCTATTGAGTAATGACTGTTAATGTGTCAGTCAACCTAATTTTAAAGGTAAATGAGGTGGCAGTGAGGAATTATATTTACATTATTGAAAGTTGAGAGAAAACAAAAATGAAATCCTATATGTTCTTCCGTCTCATCGATTTGCTTCTCCTGTGGAAATCAAACCAAAGGAAAACAAGAACGAAACCCGGCCCCTATATGTTCTATGAGAGCTGTCTCTTGGAACTTCAAGTGCCACAGCACCTAAGAGTTTAATAATATAAAATTCAAAAACTCATTTGTGAAATCCAATATCTCATGGGAGATAAAGAGATACGAGAAGTTTGAAAGAAAGGAGAAATAAAAGCAATTTTGTTTTATCAGATAAAGGAAAGGAAAGGAGAAGATAAAAGCCTTCTCCTGACTCTTCACGCTTCCTTTCCTCTTCTTCCCCACGAAGATACCCACCATTGTTGCCTTTTTTTTTCACAGAACATTGCCTTCTCATCATAATCCTGTGATTCTCCACCCAAACATATTCCGATAAGCCTTAATTCCAGCCCCTTGTTCATGTAATCTTTTTCATCTCTTTTTTTCCTTGAGAGGAGCAAGTAGCCCCTTCACGAAAAGGGTCGGGCTCCATTGGCGGCTGCCGGATTTCGCCATTGACGGTGAAGAAATACCTTCATTCACACTACCTCTCTAATCTGTAAGTTTGTTTCTTCTTGTTGTTGTTGTATTTTTTCCACTATTGAAGGAACCCTAAAATCTAACCAGTAGCTTTTTTTGCAGTCCAATTGGTTAAAGAGTCAACTGAAGCGAAAGAAGCTGGAAGTATGGAACAAGACACTATCATGGTTGAAGATGATGAAATCAATGATCGAGGTAATACTATTCAATCACCCGAGCAAAATGGTTATAATAGAAGTGAATGGAAGTGGGTACCAGTGGTGGGTGTGTCCTATTCTTCAGATGATGAAATCTTTGAGTTATATCAAGATTATGCTGAAGCAAAAGGATTTGCAGCAACATAGGCAACAACCCAAAAAAATAAGAAGGGAGAGACTGCAAATTGTAGATTTTGTTGTCATAGGGCTAGGAAACCATCTAACAAGTCAAAGAATCCTGTCAAACCAAAACCCAGCCATCGAATTGAATGGGGAGCTCGATGGAATCTTAGTTCAAATGGGTTGCAAGCATCTAGTCCAACTTTTGGGATGCAGGTACTTTGACTTGAATTTCCCTTGCTTTGATTGGTTTTGCCATTGCTGATTTGTTAGTATCAACATAAGTAAAGTTTGAAAGTTACATTTTTTCAGGTTAGATCGGTATTTGGTATTCCAAATTACCCTTGCTTTGCTAGAAATGAACAGGTTTGTGATCAACAAGTTTTCCTAGGTGGCGGAGGTTCACACACTGAACTTTTGACAAGCATGCATTTGGGTCATAATTTCGTAAGTAAAAAAGTGTACATTTGTTGTTTGAAAATCTTATATGTTGAAGGCAATTAGTTTTAACTCGTTGTTTTGATATTGCAGAATGCATATTGACTACATAAGTGATTCTAGATGAAGTATATATTCACATATTAGCTACTAAACAATACAGGAGGATGCACATATTTTGACAACAGTGGATGGGTATATAATGAGTTTATTCTATACGGATGGTCTTTGGTTATTTTGTGGACCATACCAAACTTATCCATTGTGTAAATCTCATGGATGAGATATATTTTCATTGTAACCCCTGGATGTTATGAGTGCAATTAGTTCACTGTTAATTTATGACAATTTCTTATTCACGTAAACCTTTCAGGTGTCACCTAAAATCAAATTTATTCACGTAAGTCTTCAACTATTTACGCATATTTGATCTCAGTCACGCCAAAACAATCAACCCAGTATAAAAACAAAGTCGGTCGTGTTCTTATCAAACAAGCAGGGGGCACACTTAAAAAAACACCCTTTCCTTAACAAAACCCGGCTTCTTCCCAAAAACCCGGTCTCTCTTCCTAAAAGGCCGTATTTTCATGTGATTAACACAAATGCACGCCATGTCACGCTAAAACATTAAAACTCACGCATAAACAGACACTGTCACGCCAATATAACACTATTCACGCATAAGCATACCCTACTCACGCATAAACAGAAATTTATTCACGTTAGTCTTGTAACTATTTACGCATATTCAATCTCCTCCACTATATTCAAATAAGATCAAGGAAAAGTTCTTGTCTCTAGATGTGCCAAGAGACCAGACTCGAAGATCAATAAGGTATAACTATTCAACATGTTATAAGAACTCATAACATACCAAACTAATAGTCTAGTATGTTAGATAACATGCTCAACAACGCATTCACGAGTTTAAGTGCAATACTCACATCACATCGTCGAATATGAGTTACTCTATAGTTTTATATCAATTCAATAGTGTAATAACTTTTAAATATTAGTATATACATTTCAAAAAATTACCCAGTCACGTCAACACTATCTATTTCACGCCAACATTATATGATTCACGCACATTCATCTCTGAAAACGCCAAAACCATATGATTCACGCCAATACCCATCTTATTCACGCCAACATTATGTGATTCACGCAAACACATTCTCATTCACGTCAACACTATGTGATTCACGCCAAAACAATCTGACTCACGCAAATGGATCGCCATTCATGCCAATATTAATATGATTTCACGCATATTCATGTAGGGACATGCCAAAACTGTAAGAGTCACGTCAATACACATCTAATTCACGCACATTCATCTCTGAAAACGAGCACTTCTACTATGCTATAAAGTATTGGTACTTTAATGTACAACTTAAAGTTGTACCATAACGTTAAATGTACAAGTTCAGGTTGTACCATAAAAGAATTTGTGCTCTTATGTTATGGTACAACTTTATAACTTAAACTTGTACCATCAAATGAAAGTACAAGTTTAAGTTGTACCATAAAACAATTTGACAAAAGAGTATAGGTACAATATGAAGTTGTACCATAACGTTAAAGGTACAACTTCAAGTTGTACCATAAAGGGAAAAACCTATAGCACCAATACTATATAGCATTGTAAAATTCCTCCTCTGAAAACGCCAAAACCATATGATTTCGCTAACATTATGTGATTCACGCAATCACATTCTCATTCACATCAACACTATGTGATTCACGCCAAAACTATATGGTTCACGCAAATGGATCACCATTCACGCCAATATTAATCTGATTCACGCATATTCATTTAGGGACATGCCAAAACTATAAGAGTCACGCCAATACACATCTAATTCACACACATTCATCTCTGAAAACGCCAAAACCATATGATTCACGCCAATACCCATCTGATTCACGCCAACATTATGTGATTCACGCAAACACATTCTCATTCACGTCAACACTATGTGATTCACGCCAAAACTATATGGTTTACGCAAATGGATTACCATTCACGCCAATATTAATCTGATTCACGCATATTCAGTTAGGGACATGCCAAAACTATAAGAGTCACGCCAATACACATCTAATTCAAGCACATTCATCTCTGAAAATGCCAAAACCATATGATTCACGCCAATACCCATCTGATTCACGCCAACATTATGTGATTCACGCAAACACATTCTCATTCACGTCAACACTATGTGATTCACGCCAAAACTATATGGTTCACGCAAATGGATCACCATTCACGCCAATATTTATCTGATTCACGCATATTCATTTAGGGACATGCCAAAACTATAAGTCACGCCAATACACATCTAATTCACGCACATTCATCTCTGAAAACGCCAAAACCATATGATTCACGCCAATACCCATTTGATTCACGCCAACATTTTGTGATTCACGCAAACACATTCTCATTCACGTCAACACTATGTGATTCATTCCAAAACTATATGGTTCACGCAAATGGATCACCATTCACGCCAACAATATCTAGTTCACGCAAACACGTTCTCATTCACGTCAACACCATCTGATTCACGCCAAATATATATGATTCACATAAATTGATCACCATACAGGACAATATCCATCTGATTCACGCAGAACCATACCCCCACCAAAATGTACCATTTCAACAAAGTAGTTACCATGTCTGTCAACAAACATTTACATCCAATCACCAAAAAGTTATCTCGTGTCTCTCTTGTCTGGCAAACCATCTCCCACTTGCACATAATCTCTCTATTACTCAAAATATGCTTTCCTTCATTGATTCCCAACAGCTGTTTTCCTTGTGTTGTATCCACTCAAGGAATAAGTTCTCTCGCAGTCTCAAAGAAGATTTCTGAAAAAAGAAGAAAGATAACATAAGTAAAGATCAACACAACCATAAAAGTACATTGATATACAAGTTTTTGTCAAATCATACCTCATTCACGGCATCAGATAAATTTCTTCATCAACCATTCACATAATGTTTCCTCATCAACCATTCACATAATGTTTGATCATGCCTAAATTTCTTCATGTATAGCAACTCGCCGAAGCCCATTTCTCCAACCCATCCTCTCTTTTCCTCAGATAAACAACTTATAATTTCAATCACTTTCATTGAACTGCACCTCACATTTCCTCCTCCCTACATATAGATTAGAAACAATAATGCACAAGACAAATTACTTTCACTAAGACATGCAAGGAAATCATTTTGTTAATTACCTTTCTTTGCCTTTTTTTACGAGGTTCAGCACTATCCATATTGGCACTATTATAACCTTTGGAAGAAAAAAGACAGCCAATCAATGTAGTTGGAGAAGACATACAATTTCAGTGCATAAAACATCAAAATGCTTCACAAGCTACTATGGCTCATTCCCAACCCACCCAAAATTACATTTCCACTTCCTAGCCGAAAACCCCACCTACAACAAATATGTGTTATTGTCTTGTTAAACACCTTATTCTGCCAAGAGACCAAATTTTATTGCATTATAAGTAAATAAACAAAATCCAGTATGTTGTGGCTCATGTCACGTGTACTTCATTGTTATATATAATTGAGTAATTAATCTTTCCCCTACTCTTCAATTATTGCTTGCTTCTAATTGATTAACTAATCTCCCCCATGACTACAAAATCCCTAAACCAATAATTTAAAATCTTACCCTAAAAAAATTTCAAAACAAATCCATAATGTTTCGCAAAACTTACCCACGAGCAGGGCTGGGTGGAACATGCAATACCAGGGGTTTCCGTTTACCGCGATTGGGGTTGAACGTTTGCTGCGATTGGGGCTGAAGATGTTGGCTCTGATTTGCCGGACCAAACTTGCGGACGGGTTCTCCCTACATTGTTTGTCCCCTTTCACCCCGATCTCTGGCGCCTTCGCCTCCGAACCCGACGCCTCCGACTCCGGCTCCTTCGCCTCCGAATCCGACGCCTCCGACTCCGGCGCCTTCGCCTCTGAATCCGACGCCTCCGCCTTCGCCTCCGATCTCCGGCGCCTTCACCTCTGAATCAAACGAAAGGAAAGCTTGCCTCTCCCTGATCTTCATTTGCTTGCCCTCGCTCTCTATTGTCGTCTCCAGCGACTATTTGGCGAGGAAGAAAAGCATTGGAAAGGGTAGTGGAAGAAGAGCAGAATGAGATTTCAAAAGATGGCTTTTGTGGATGGAGGATACGAAGAGGTGGTTGGGGTAAAGAGAAAGTGCATTTTTTAATTCTATATATCTTTTATTTTCAATTTCTCTTCTCACCAACATTCAATTTCTCTTCTCACCAACGCATATCTCTCATACAATTATTTAATACATTTTTCATTAGGTGTCCCTCACACCTAACGTGCCAAGAAAAGTTTTCCATGTTCTATTCCTATCCCGCCTTCTCGTTTTTGTTTCCCTAATCTGATTTTATCTCTCAAGTCTAACCTCTCGTCCTCGACGTACGACAACCCGAGCATAAACAATTCTGGGCTTCTTACTTTGTTCTTCCCTACTTCGATCGTCGTCCATTAAAAAGACCGATCCAAACTTTTATTCAACCGGAAAAAAACAATTACCAAGGTAGAATTTGGCTTGCATGTTGTTGGCTTATACAGATAGAGTATTACCACGTTATTGTATCCTATATATGTATCCGTGATAGCCTGTAGAACTAACGAAACTTTGATAGTGAAACCCTTTTGGAGAGCCAACTCTCTCATAAATAAATCATGTTGATCAGTGATACTACGTTAAACTTTTTCGGTCGGAATATGAATTGGAAGCTTTTCAAGCTCATGATCTTCGGTGTTAGGGACTGAAATGGGGTCACCAATGTCGGGTAAGTGTCCCAACCGGCGGAGGCTCGATTTTCGTTTGCGAATAGGACTTCGATTGCGATTATTTTATTGGAACATGATCATAGCAGTTCTTTAATTGATGCTGCTGCTGTTGTAATTGTTGCTTGATAGTTCGCTTTTGAGGTTGAGAGGGGAAGGCGTCCCTTGTTTCCTCCGTCGCTAAAGAGCATTGGTGAACTTTTTGAATAAACTTAAAATTGTTGCTAAAGAGAACAATCAACACTACAAATTCATATTCGATGGTAAGACAACCTAGTTGGTAAAGGGCTGGGGGTTCGGGCTTGAGATGTGACAAGATCTCAGGTTCGAATTCCAGTACCGCTTCTTGGTGTTCCCGGAGGCACCCTTGTTACAGGAGATGAAGTCTCTCCGATGACATTAGCACAACGCCTAACACTACGCCGGGACAAGATGATTAGTATGCCGGTACCCCACGTTTAGTAGGCCCCGCTGTCACTCATGTGGGTTACTAATGTTCCTGGGTTATCGAATAAAAAAACACTACAAATCCATAACCAAACTTTTGCTTTCTAAATTTTCCATATATGTTTTACTTGGTACAACCCAATAGCCAAATTCATATCATACACTATATCCATCAATATTCCATCATTGATACCATATGATACAAGATAATATAATATCTTATTTCGGCCTCAAGTTTGACGTAATCATGCAAGAAATGGACAACTTTGACCCAAATTTTCGATTGATCGTCAATGTTAATCGTCAAATTGTCACTTAGCATACAGTGTTAAGGCAATTGCGACGTGGAAATAATTCTGAAATTAAAAATGTAATAAAAGGATTGATACCACTACAGCACCCAGGGTATAAAAAATGCAACTTGTGTACTACTTTATTCAATATGACAATCTATCCCCAACAAATTTTCCATTAGAGTTGACCGTTAGTATTTAATGAATAGACAAGTCACTGCTGTGTGGCATCTGACATTAAATTTTAGAATCTTTATTTTTATCTCACTAACACATAATTATTTTTTAATTCAAAAGTAAATTAAAGTTTTAAAATATAGAAAATATATTACTTGCGAAATTCATATATTTTCTCATCTATTTCTCAACTCTCTCTCCTCTCCCTCTGTCGTCGTCATAGCCTAGTTTCCCTTCTTCGTCTTCACCTTTCTCAATCTATCAGCGGGGATGGATCTACTTCGAGATCATCTGCAGCGCCAATGTCGTGTGCGTCGAATCTATCACAACCACTTGTTCGACGGTGTTATCTCAGGCTCCGAAGTGGGGATGCAGACCCCCTACTCGTCCGAAAGAGCAAGCATATCACTCGGCGGTGAACAAGCCACTGTGCTTGTGGCATGGTGTTTTTGCAGAAGATTAAGGGAGTTGCTAATTGTCGCCCTGGATTGTACTGTAATCGCTCTAACTTAAAAATTAGAATTGCATCTTTATCCTTTTATGTTTTAAACCTTTTATTTAGGGTAAATACAATTTATTAGCCAAACCTTTTACTCTTAAACAAAATAATAGCCAAACCTTTTAAAAAATAATTTAATAGCCAAACTGTTAACTTTCCATCCGGTCAACCGTTAGTTGACTCTGACGTGGCAAAGTGTCAAGTGAGATGGATGGTTTTTTGTGATGTGGCACAAAGTCAAATGTTTGACATTGCCACATAGATATTTTATTATTTTACAAAACAATTTTTATTTTTTAAAATTGAAATTAAATTACAAAAAAAAGATCTAATATTTTTTTTGTACTGTTCATCTTCTCCCTGAAACTCCCCAACCACCCAAATCCTTGTCCACCTTCCCGTACCTAGACAGTTGCTGGAAAATGCTTTATCCTTCTCATGACTCTTGGTCTCCTTATCTTCAACAAAATCCCCAACTGTCGACCTCTTCTTCTAATTTGAAAACCTTATACAGACAAATCAAACACACAATCTTGCTTTTAGATTCGTCCTCAAATCCCTAATTAACAAAAATATACCCTACGTAATAAGTCAAGCTAGTGAGAACTCGATTGAAGCGCGATGCAAAAGTTCTGAGATGCAATTGTGAAGTCGGATACGGCCAGCTGGTAATGAATACCAAGTCGGCTCTAATGTTAATGATAGAACATCGCCAACAATAGTGAAATCGATGAGGTCGAGAGAAGATGGTGGAAATAGGGGAAGGAGAGGAAGCCTTAAGAGCTTGGCATAGAGCAGGGGAAAACATTTATGTAAGCGAAAACCATTCACCGCCGCCGTCGCCGCTGATTCGCTACCAAACCACAACCAGTAAAGAAAGAGGAGATAGCGCCGATGTCGCCGTGCAGGGCGTTGACGGGATTAAGGGAGGAGACGCCGATGGTGACGCCGATCTGCTGCTACTGACAGTGTTTGGGATTGGCAGGAGGAGAGGGAAGATCGAGAGATAGCGCAGAGCGAGCTTGTAGATGAAAAGTGTCGGAGTCCGTCGGGGGTTTTGGTTGCTGGGTGGAGGAAGGGTACGGGGAGGAGGGGTTTCCTTTTTTTATTTTATTTAATTTCTTTGTTTGAGTTGAAAAATTAATAAAAATTGAAATTAAATTATCTGACTCAGCAACTCATTTGCCACGTCAGAGTCAACTAACAGTTGACCAGATGGAAAGTTAACGATTTGGCTATTAAATTGTTTTTTGAAAGGTTTGGCTATTATTTTGTTTAAAATGAAAGGTTTGGCTAATAAATTGTATTTACCCTTTTATTTAAACAAACAACACTTTATTTGAGGAAAAAAAACATAGCAAATTCTCACCTCCGTTTTTCGTTCCGGAATCAAAACAGAGAAGGGAACCGGAGAGAATGAGAATCTTTGAGAAATGATGTGTGATTTGTGGTGAAATTCTTCCTCGTTTCTCTTTTGTTCTGCAGTCGACCGTTGGTGCTGTATTCCATCTTCATCATCATCTTCTGTGCGATCCATGGAGTTCAACAGCCCCCCACAAGCTGGCGAGTATATGTCGTATACTCCCAGCTTGAATAGAATCCACCTAAAACGGTGAGCGCTCAACCCTTTTGTGAAGATGTCAGCTAGGTTTCGATCTGTGCAAATGTACTTCACATTTATCAGCCCCGATTTGATTCTTTCTCTTATGATATGGCAATCGATTTCAATATGCTTCGTCCTCTCATGGAATACTGGGTTTTCGGCCATGTGAATTGCAGATTTGTTGTCGCAGAATACAGTGGCTGGTCCCTTGAAGTCGACATTCAGATCCTTGAGTAGTTGGGTCATCCACTGCACTTCGCACGATAGTTGAGAGAGAGCTCGATACTCTGCCTCGGAGGATGATTTGGAGACTATGGCCTGTTTCTTCGCCTTCCATGTGATGAGGGAACTTCCAATAAAGGTACAGTATCCTGTGATTGATTTTCTTGTATCAGGGCAAGCCCCCCAGTCTGAATCACAGTAGCCTGTTAGTGAGAAGTTGGAGTTGGATGAAAAGAATAAACCTTGTCCTGGTGAGCTCTTGATGTATCTGAGTATTCTGTGTGCTGCTCTTAGATGTGATGCTTTAGGTTCTGCCTGAAACTGACATAGTTGTTGAACAGCAAAGGCTATGTCAGGCCTTGTAGTGGTTAAGTAACCTAGTCTTCCAAGTAATGACTTGTACATGTATGGGTCCTCCTTGTCTTCATCATTGAACTGTGTTAGTCTTGTCTTCATGTTTGAGGGTGTCTTAGCAGGCTTACCATTTAGGAAACCTGTGTCCATCAGCAGATCGAGACAATACTTTCTTTGAGTGACTGAGATCCCAGCATTGCTTCTAGCTACTTCCAAACCAAGGAAGTACTTTAGTTTTCCGAGGTCTCTCACCTTGAATTGCTGAGATATGTACCCTTTTGCTTCTTGGATCAGGTTTAGGTTGTCACCAGATATGATCAGGTCATCGACATAAACAAGTATTACAGTGATTGATTCTCCAGATTTCTTTGTAAATAGAGAGTAGTCAGAGTAGGATTGAATGAATCCAAACCTTGTCAAAGCTTCTGTGAGTTTAGCATACCATTGTCTGCCTGCTTGCTTAAGCCCATATAGTGATTTCTTTAGTCTGCAAGCTTTTCCTGGTATCTCCATGCCTGGGGGCAGTTTCATGTACACCTCTTCCTCCAAATCCCCATTTAAAAAAGCATTGCTGATGTCCATTTGATTGAGATGCCAGTTTTTGATGGATGCCACTGCCAATAGAGTCTTGACTGTATTGATCTTTACAACTGGAGAGAAAGTGTCCAGAAAGTCTATTCCAGGTATTTGAGTGAATCCTTTTGCAACTACTCTGGCCTTGTGTCTTTCTAATGAGCCATCAGATTGTAGTTTTGTTTTATAAACCCATTTGCTGCCAATGAGTTTCTTTCCTTTTGGAGCATCAACTACATCCCATGTGTCATTAGCTTCTAATGCAATCCTTTCAGCCTTCATTGCTTGTCTCCAGTGTTCTTCTTTCATTGCTTCTTCGAAGGTTTGAGGCTCTTGTATGTTGGTAACAGCCATGGAGAAATGTTTGTGTGGTTGACATAACTGGGAATAGTCCATGTAAGAGGAGATAGGATACTTGCTGTTTGGATTGCTTTGAGCACTTCCCATGAAGTAGTCCCCATGCCAAGTGGGAGTTTTGATGATTCTGTTTGATTTTCTTAAATTCTGTTCTTGAACAGGATTATCATTATCATGGTGTTTATCTAGCCCCCCTGCAACTTCTGCTTGTTCTGGTTCAGGGATGACTACATCCGAAGTATCCATGTCTTCAAATGGTAGAAAGCCTGGTGAAGGTGGAGCGTTGGGAACAACCTGAACATTCAAATCATGAACTGGAGACATAGGATCATATGTTGAGATGGATGGAGAGGATGAGTCAGGAATTGTTGGAGAAGAAGAAGAAGCAGAAGGGGCAAACAGATCAGTGTTTGGGACAGCAGGAGAAGCAGAGGATGATGGAGCAAAGCGAAATATGTTTTCATGGAAGAGAACATCTCGTGAGGCAAAGACCTTTTTGGTTTCCAGGTCAAATATTTTATAACCTTTGATGCCAGGTAAGATGCCAAGAAAAACGCCCTTCCTAGCTCTAGGCTGAAACTTGGTTCTGTTGTGCTGTAAAGTAGTGGCATAGCATAAAGAACCAAAGACCTTTAGATTGGAATAGTCTGGTGGGTGATGATAGAGTTTTTGGTAGGGTGTTTGATTAGAAATAATGGGAGTAGGTAAGCGATTAAGGATGTGTACTGCATAAAGAACGCAGTCACTCCAAAATCTGAGAGGGAGGTGAGATTGATATTTGATTGCTCTGGCTATGTTGAGAATGTCTTGGTGTTTTCGCTCAACACGGCCATTTTGTTGTTGTCTCTCGACACATGACATTTGGTGAGAGATGCCATGTTCTCTAAAGAAATCGATCATGTGAAATTCTTGACCTTGGTCACTACGGATGGTTTTAACAGATTTATTGAATTGAGTTTGAACCATGGTACAAAACTGTTTGAGAATAGGTCGAACTTCTGATTTGTGTTTCATGAGATAGGTCCAGACTGCTCTAGAGTGATCATCAACAATGGTTAGGAAGTAAGAAAAACCATCATAGGAAATGGTATTCAATGGTCCCCATATATCACAGTGTATGATTTCAAATGGTTCTTGACAAGTATTTAAGCTGGAAGAAAATGGAAGGTTCTTCTGCCTTGCAAGATGGCAGATTTCACAATGACTAACTGTGCTCACAGGCACTTGAGGATTACATTTCTGAAAAAGCTTGACTCTGGAATTAGAGATGTGGCCTAGTCTAGCATGCCATAGGGCAGTTTCTTCAGGTGAGGGTGAAGTAGTAGTGGCGGCAGTAGATGGGTAGGTGACTGGATGGTGGATGGAAGTGTTGATGTCGAGATGGTAGAGACCCCTAACTTCTCTTGCAGAACCAATCCTCTTCTGTGAAGGAAGGTCCTGAATGTCACAGAAGAAGGAGTGAAAGGTAAGAGAGACAGGCATAGATTTAGTGAGAGTGCTAACAGATAGGAGATTGAAGGTGAAGCTAGGGATATGAAGGACATTGTGAAGTTGTAGACTGTTGTTAATCACAACAGTACCTATGTGATCAACTTTGATTTGGGATCCGGTTGGGAGGGTAACAAATGTGTTAGTGACGGGATGGTAAGAAGTGAAAAAGGAAAGGTTGCAACACATATGATCAGATGCTCCAGTGTCAATGATCCAAACATTCCGAAGTTCTTGATGCTGTAAAGTAGTGAAGGTAGAGAGTGTAAATTTACCTGCATTGTTAGGCATAGGGTTGATATAGCGGGACACAGAATGTGCTTGAGCTGGAGTATGGGAGGGCTGTTGAACTCCATGGATCGCACAGAAGATGATGATGAAGATGGAATACAGCACCAACGGTCGACTGCAGAACAAAAGAGAAACGGTCGACTGCAGCATCAGCCTTGAACAGTCTTCACTGGATAGCCTTAGTGTAGTAGTAGAATTGGGAGCAGGTCTGTTATCCTGGTTCTGTCCTTGTATGGGAGGATCATGTCCTTGTTCTTCAGATCCTCCAAAGGTTGCAGCAGCTGCAAAGTTGGAGTTAATTGGTTCCCCTCGCTTTCGTTTGAGTTTCCAGCAATCTGCTATCATATGGTTGTTCTTCTTGCAATAGTTGCAGAAGAGATTCTGCTGATTGCCTCCAGTGTTATCACTTGGACTTCTCTGATTGGGATAAAGACCAGGGTAAGATGGTTGTCTAGGAGTTCTGGGATAGTCACCTCTAGATTCTTTGCCTTTGTTCTGGTTCATAGCACCTAGAGCTACTGAATCCACACCAGCACCCTCTTTAGTTTGTTGCTTACCCATTTGTCTTTCAAGTTTCAGGGCATGTTTGTATGCAGCCTTCAAGTTTGGTGCTGGATCCATAAGCAAGAGCTGATTCTTAGCCATCTCAAACGTGTCGTTGAGACCTATGATGAAATCAATGGTGTGGTCTTGTTCATGGGAGTCTTTAACAGCAGCATAGGTGACACAAGAAAGAGTATGAGGTGTATCACCGCATTCACAAGCAGGTATGGATTTAAAAGACAAATACTCAGTCCATAGAACCCCTAGCCTGTTGTAGTAGTCTGTGACAGGGGAGGTGCCTTGCTTGCAGGCGGGAATCGAGGCACGAATGTGAGCTAGTCGGACAGAATCAGCTTCTCCATATCTCTCTTGGAGATCTTTCCAAAGGTCCTGGGCATTTTCATTATCCATAACTGCCTCTGCTATGGAATCAACGAGGGAGTTGAGGATCCAGCCCATAACATTTGTGTTGCTTTGGTCCCAAGCTTCATAGTTGGAATCAGTAATTTCAGGCACAGGTAGTGTGCCGTTGATAAACCCAAGCTTATTCTTGGTTTTAAGAGCAATCCTCATAGATCTACTCCAGACATGATAGTTAGAACCATCCAGTTTTACAGAGGTTATACCTTGTGATAGGTTTTCGTTGGGGTTGACATAGTAAGGATCGATTGCAGGTCGTGGGAGTGGCGGCTGCGTTTGGGTTGATTCTCCAGTCGCCATGATGAAAGATGAGGAAGGTGAGAAACCCTAGAAAGAGGTGAGCTCAAAGCTCTGATACCATGAGAATCTTTGAGAAATGATGTGTGATTTGTGGTGAAATTCTTCCTCGTTTCTCTTTTGTTCTGCAGTCGACCGTTGGTGCTGTATTCCATCTTCATCATCATCTTCTGTGCGATCCATGGAGTTCAACAGAGAAAGAAAAACAGAGGAGATGTGTGCCCTATTGCCGCTTTTGATTTCCCTTCCTCCATCTCCATTTCAATTGAATAGATGTACTAGGGCAATCCTTGGGGGAGATAACGGCGTTAATCTGGCGATGCGGCTCCTGCAGAGAATGGGTTCTATTTTGTTCTTTGTCGCGGCCGATTACTACCGTCGGAGACCGAGAGTAAGCAAGCGAGTGATCCCTAGGCTGGATGAGGCGGCAACGGAGTCCGGCAGCGGTGGCAGGAAGGTGGAGAGGTTCTCGCACTGTGTGGTGAGGCAGTAGAGTTCTCAAATCCGAGTGAGTGCCGACAATTGTGCAAGCTGGCGTACGACTACCTGAGGAAAATCGAGGGGTTCGAGGACAAAAACTGCGATTACTTTGCCAGAAACGACGACGACGAAGGGGCGAAAGCTGTTCGGGAAGGTGGTGGAGGAACTTGAGAAATGCATCTTGCGCTACTTCGCTTCCACTGGAACCACGATGCTTCGATCGTCTCTCAGGTAGGTTTCCAAATTAAATTATACTCCCCTACAGATTTTGAAATTCTAATCAATTTGAATTCTTTTTCAAATGTTGTTGAACTATTTTATTTTTTTCCGTTGCTCAGGTGATGAACGGTCAATCGGAGAAGAAGCCAAAGCTCAAAAGTTTTCTAATAGCCGCCACCAGGTAGACAGGCATCTCCTGGTGGGAGATGTATTTTCTCGCGATGAGGAGATAGGGTTTGTTTTGTTAATTTTGTATTTGATTTTTTAAGGTTATTTAAGTAATTTTATGCTTTTAAGTTAGGGCGTGGTTTAGTCATTCAGAAGATTAAATGCTTAGTAAGGACTCAATGACATGACATATAGGTGATTGCTACGGTTGTGTCACGTCACCAAAAGTCAATATCATTTCGACCACTGAGGTTAACTATTATCAACAAAAGCATGAAAAGAGTATTATCTTGTTGTCTCTCTGTCTTTCGACCTTGACCCATCCATCTTCTCCCTCTCCAACGGGGAACCATCCTCCATCCAAGATTCCCTCGCCGTCCCGCAGGCCACCCACATTCAGCGATGATAATATCACACTCGCAGGGAATGAGTTAAGTTGCTAACCCCTTACGAGGTTAGCACCATACTAACTAGGTTAATTATCGTTAGATTAAAAAACTAATCCTAGGGTCAGAATTAAAAAGAGGCAATTTGGTTAATATGCTCTTGAACCCTAATATAAATACACATTCTCCCTCCCACGCCTCTCTCCAGACCGCCCACTTTTTTCCTCTCCCTCTCCGCCAGAAACCATCTTCTCTCCAAAAAGCGTATTTTCCCATGCCTCTTCCACCTCCTCCGTGACTCCAATCGCTCGACCAACATCGCCATCACTCGCGGACTCGCTTTCGTCGTGCCACCGCTTCCGGCTTCGTTAGCTGATACCGAGGGTGGCCGCCTGAACTACCGAGGAACACCGCTGTCAACGCCATCCTCCCTCCTCGCCGTCCACTAATCCCAGATCCGTCCCAAGGAAGGCCGCCATCGCGCGAGATTCATTGTTGATTACCAGATCTACCTCGACAACACTGCCGTCATGTTGTCGCATCTCTTCCAACCATCACAATTGGTGGATCTCTTCATGCCGTTTCAACGCCGACGTTACACCGCCGCATCGATCTCCTCCACCCTAGCATTTCTCGACGTTGGCAGATCTCCAGATTTCACAATCAAATCTATAGTGGTGTTGAGAATTGTTACATATATGAAGTAGTAATTTTCCATATTTTTAGTATTGTTTTCATATTTGTGGTAATTATTATTAATAATATAACAGTAACGATTTTACAGATCTGATTGAGGTTTTATGGTATTTTAATCGGTACACAGGAGATATAAATCGCTACACATGGAATATAAAATAGTACAATTATACAAGTAAATTGCTAAATCACTATTGATTACAATTAAATCACTACTAGAAAATTCCTAAACCACTACTGATGAGACTTAAATTTCTACTAAAAATTTCCTAAATCACTACTAATATAACAATTAATTCTGAAAGACAGTACTATAAAACCCCAAAATTCCGTTAAAAAACCTAAAATCACTACTACCCATCAAAATTGCTACCGATTTTATGTAGTAGTGGATTTATTAGCATTTTTCGATAAAAATTACTAATACATGGAGGAGAGAGAAAATATATTATATATATTTATTATTTTTAATTTTGTGAAATACCAAACAAACCCTTCATTAATAACCACCATCATATTCAAATTAAAAAAATTAACGGTGATTAGAGTAGTTATCACAGTACTAATTCCTATTAAGTTAGCACTCTAACCTCTCCCCACTCGCAACGATTCCATCGTCGACAAGAAGAGTGTGTGGTGGTTACCTCGCAGAAGGAGCAACTTCCTTACCGCCGTCGGCTTTTCTCCCTCGTCGTGGGGAAGGCGTTGGAGACTGGTCTTGGTGGTTACCTATGGCGGGATCCTAGTGGGAATTTCGAATCAAACAAGTTGGCTCTATCTATCAATTTAATCAAGGGCTAATACCTTTTTTACCCTTCTACTATTGCAAATTAACAATTATACCTCTCTACTAAAATTTTGCACAAACATACCCTTCTAATAGACTATTATTAAAACGTATCAAATATACACTCCTGTCTAATTATCTAAGTGACCATTTAATAGGTTAGAAAATAATTCAGTTTAATTATTTTATGTTTGTTTCTAACCCAATTCATTAAAAATTAAAACCTACAACTCCCAAGTCCCAACCATTCCCTTCCACAGACCAAGCCTTCCGTCTTTCTATAGTCCCTCGACTCCCCTAAACAAGAAAAATGCACGCCATCAATAGACTGAGAGTAAGACCAAACCTTCCTTCTTCCTTCACTGGGCTTTCCCACAACAGACTGAGAGTTGAGAATAGTCTCTAACCGCAGGTGGGGCCGATGCAGAGATGGGCATTGGGCGACCTTTGACAAGCAGTTCAACAGATGCGTTCATTAGCAAAGAGGTAGTGCTTTGCCTTGCTGCAGAGGTGATGGAAACTTTCATTTTAGTATTTTGATTTATTGTCGGTTTATTGTTATTTCGGATTATTGGGACCATTTCGGGAATTGGGAAATATTTAATAAGTCGGGTAGCAGTAGGGAATTATCCATTTTTTATATAAACTACTTGTATGTAAGATTAGGCCACTAAGCAAGCTTATATCTAAAACCTAATTGCCAAAATCTCTCTCTCTACCTGTCCCTCTGCCGAAATCTTCTTCCTCTTCCTCCAAGGCAGCCGCGCGGCCAACCTTCCTCTCTTCCTTCTTCTTTTCGTCCCATCCACTTCCCCTTTCTCCTTTTTCTTCTGTTCATCCCGGGATCAATCCCTAGTTGATCACTCACCAATCCCAATTCCTAGATAGAAACTCGTCTCCGGGTTCTATCATTTGGTATCAGAGCCCCGTTCTTGATCAAGCAAAGACGATCAAGATGGTGCTGACGAAGTCCATGACTGCAGCTGAGAAGACAGCCAAGGCTGCGCAGGAGCAGGACGCGTCCGTGGCAATGACGAGGCTGTTGTCCTCCGGCGACGGTGTGGGTGTTGCGTCCCGACCACGAGATGGCGAACTGGTCGATGAGACCGCGGGTGAGGAGCTATGCTCCGATGTGCAATTCTTGGCGGAGGCGATGGAACAGGAACGCCAAGCCAGGTTGAAGGGCGAACGTAACCGTGAGGCGGATTCGCAGGCGTTGTGGCTTGCAATTGGCGAGCTCAAGGAGATGCTGGCGATGGCCCTGGAGCGCGCTGGAGGCGGCTCGATCGGCGACGGGTCGGCGGCAAAGGCGCCGGAGGAGGCCGCAAAGGCCGCGGCGGACGAGACATAGGGGGCGGCCGCCGAGTCCGGGCGAGGCGTGACTGGCGACAGAGTAGGGACGGGCCCAGGCCCGCAAGGGTTGGGGCTTGTTCGGGTCTCTTGCCTACACCTACGGCCCAGGAAATTGTGGCCCGCAAGGGTAAGGGAAAGATGTCAGGTTATGACACGGAAGGGCCTCTGTTGAATGTTAGGTTAGAGATGGTGGGCCATTTCGCGAAAAGCGCCAATGGGCTTGGGTGGATGGGCCTGGATGATGAGCCCGAAGATGATGAGCTCAGTCTGGTGGATCAACAGGCGCAGTGGGCCGAACCTTTGGTAGACAAAAGGGGGCACGAGCCGGAGACAGCCGACCAGGCTGAGCGGATGGGGTCTGCTCCTGGTGAGCGGACCGTGGACGGTTGGGCCGAGGCAGATCAGACCGAATCCGACTGGGCCGATACAGGGAGAACCGACGGTGGTCGAACCGAGACCGGGTGGGCCGGCACGGGTCGAACCAAGGCGACCCGAATCGGACCTGGGTGGACCGGTATGGGTCGGCCTGAGGTGGGTCGAACCGGACATCGACCGAGCCCCTCCAATCAACAGCCAAGAAGGGTGGACAGCAAGGGACCAGCAGGCTGGGAAGGTCTTGTATGGGGCACCCCACGCTCCTGGAGGGTACCCGGGCCAACCAGGTGGCTACCCGGGTGACTACGGGTAGGGCTGGCTATTTGGTCCGAGTTTTTTGGTTTTACCCGAAACCGGGCCGTATAATCCAGACCGAGACCAGACCGGGACTGGATAGTAAACAATCCAATCCAATTTTTGGGCTTAGATTTGAGGTAAAAAAAACCGTTCGGGACCGGATCGAAAACTGGATAAATACCGGATAAGAGAGCTCAACACTCAAAACTTAAGGGTAATTTGCATAAACGGTCACAAACCTTTGCAAAATACAATCAATTTATATTGTTTTAAATTCTTTTAATTTTCAAATTAGCATGTCTAATTTTTACATTAAATTTTGAAAGGTAAGATCGCATGTTTAGTCGTAGGTTAATCAATAATTCGATCCATATCGTACCAACTCGATATTTGTGTCGAATTAGATCAAACAAAAAAAAATCAATTTTTTTACTCTATGTAATTGCTTAAAGTCTGATAGTTTTTATTAGAAAATTATTAAACATAAAATATGGTCCAATGGAATAACTTAAATGCTTCTTCAACCTAACTACGTTGTTATTTACATCTGGATAGTTCCATTAACGATTAAAAAATAGTTGTATAATGATAAACCATTAATCATGAGTCATTGAAATTTTTCATCCGGCAACCGCTCCGCTTTTGAAAATATAGGACATATTCAATAAAATATTTAAAAATATGAGCACATTGTTAAAGGTTAAGTTTGAATTATGATAACTAAAGTTCAAATGATTGAATAACTTAAAAGGGCCATTTCAAGTAAAAATATTCTTTTGCTAATATTTTCATTTTTTTCTCTTTCAAAAATATAAATTTAATACATCTATACTAATATTTTTGGATTTGCTTTACATAATTGTCCAAATAATCTATTTCCATATCACATTTTTTTCTCCTCGAATTTTTGTATCTTTAAACTATTTAAATGTAATACATCTATAGTAATATTATGTACATTATTTACTTTTTAATTCAATAGATGACAATCAACTATATTTAAATTAAAATAGTAATTAAATTTGCAAAGCTTCATTTTCAAGGTAATTATTCACATATAACGAAGATAAAAAATTTTGCTGATTTTTTTTTATTCAGTGATGTTTAATATCTCAAGGCATGAATATAGATTCCAGATAGTTTTTCATTTCATTCGTTGTCTAACTTAAACTTCTTATAGTTAAGTATAAAATGAAATACAAATTCAATAAAATTATAAAGTTAACGGGCACTAAATAACATAAACTATCAAAGTACTCTTTTGTACCACCAGTGCACAATACTAAAAATCGAACCACCTACATTTAATTAAAAAATATCCAAATGAGTGAATGACCAACCACCTACATTTAATTAAAAAATATTCAAATGAGTGAATGACCACAAACCGGCCAACGGGCCGGATACAACACTAGTATATATAATATACCAACCACACCACAACAATCAAACTTAACAACCCGTCAATTATATACGTACTAATGAACTTGTCCCATGATAGATCACACATCATATAATTATTGACGGAATCACATTCATTACTTTTGACCAGCAATCCACCATGTACGTGTTCTCAAGAATTAACACCAAGCAATTAGACAGTTCACTGGGCACAAAAAGCACACCAGCAATGGATAATTCCTTATCCATGCATACACCAATCTAGAGCACATAAGAGGAAATGAATAGAAGAAGAAGAAGAGATCTTTGACCCATACTTAAAACACAACAAAAGGAAGATACTCCAACGCCAAAACTGCATGTCTGTACATTTCAGTCTATGACCAGTCCTGTAATCTACACATTCAATATAGTATATGGACAAGCACCAAAGCAAACCCAATCAGCAACTGCACATCCCCATAACCCCTCGTCTAGCTAACGAGTTGAACAGCCTCATTAGCCACCAGCAGCAGCAGCAGAGACATCATCAGTTGGGCTTTCCTATCTATCTAGCTCTCTGAAACACACAACATTATTGCATGCCCCCTAGGCTGGCTAGGGTAGCTTCTAAACTTGTCTGTAAGACTGTAACATGCAGCAGCAGCAGCAGCAACAGAAAGTAACAATAACCAACAAATATTGCTGCAGCAGGCACTGGCAGGCAGCGACTGATCCATGCTGCTGTCTAGTTTAGCATGAATAAGTCAATCAATATATACATATAGATTGATGGGTTGTCGTTTGTTTAATCTTAAATCCAATTTCTTTTTGTCATTTCAGGCGTCTAGCTATAGCTTCTGGACAGTAGACACCCAGTTCACTTCTTTCCCCACCTTTTATTTCTCTCTGGCTCTCTTTGTCCATCCCTCCCTCGTCAAGGAGAGAGAGAGAGAGAGAGAGAGAGAGAGAGAGAGAGAGAGAGAGAGAGAGAGAGAGGAGAAGGTAGAGTACGACAGTGAGAGTTGTGGATAGCGACTAAACATAAAACAAATCAAAGATATGGCCATTTAACAACGCTCCAAAACTTCTCCTTCCCCTTCACTATTTTCTGCAGATCCCAAGAACAACACTATACAGCTCCACATCCCACTCCAGCATTTACACCAATGTATATATGTACATATTAATTAAATGGATAGAGCGACTAATAGTATTGTTATATATGTTGGGTTTTCTTTTGAAATGAATTGATGTATTCAAGATTTTTCTTTACTCATTGGATTATTCGTGGTACTAAATAAATTTTATCTCAAAAAATTCATTCCATCTATCCGACATCATATGGAAGCGGATTGTGATGTCTTTATTGCAAAATTGAATCGGGGAGAAACTACTTTCTATAATTTACTAGAAGTTGTGAGAATTTTTGAAGAGACAAGAGCGACGGTGGAAGCTGAGAAGCGATGGATAATGTCTGATGGCGAATCCCAGAGAGAAAGAGAGAGTAATAAGGCGACACACCAAATGACTCGTGTTAACTGTCGGTGGGAAGAGATCGATCGAAGTTTGAGGGAAAAATACGGACACATCAAATGTTTACAAATCCCAACTTCACATGAATTGTACTGCTTTCATTTTCGGCAATCGAAAGCTACAACCAATTTCTATATGGGGGGAAAATACACCATGTGATGGGATTTAACCGGAAGTAGGACTAACAATATTGATGAATTCACTAATCATGATAACAAGGGAAGGAAATGCAGTAACTGCAGAACTTCTTTGGGTACGTAAAAAAAAAAAAACTTTAAGAGTTTTCGATTGGTAAGTCGAATGATGATGATGTTCAACACTTGCATATCCAACCAACATAAGCGCATATTACATATTCATACCCTAAAAATAAACTCAAGATCAATTGGGTTAATCAAATATTCGATCCTCTCCCCATTACTCAACAATCCTCCAACTTTTTCTTCTTCCCTATGGCATCCATGCACAACCTAATTTTTGCGTAGACATTGACACCATGCATCGATCACCACAATCATCACAATAAAACCTATAACGTACGCTGCATCACGCTACGTACTAGGGTAAAGAAGTAGTAGTGGTGCCGTAAGGGTTCAAATCCCCCCAAGAAGCCTGCAATCCGCCACCATTACCACCGCCGTTCCAGCTAGCACCACCGTTGTTGCTGGCCGCCGCCGCCGCCGCAGAACCACTCCCCACCACCTGGCCGTAGGAGTTGCCAAAGAACCACTCGGTGGCCGCCTCTCCTTCTCCTTTCCCGCCGCCACCACCAACAACAACAACCTCCGGCTTACCGCCGTCCATACGAATCTCCCCGAGATCCCTAAACAGTATGGGCTGCGGCTTCTCCGGCTCCCGCTGGTCGTCTTCATGCTGACGTGGCAACCCGATGGCCCCACCATTACCACCATCCTTGACATTGTTGTTGTCTCCGAAAAGGGTCGACAACCTCTGCTGCTGAAGCTTCCAGTGGAGATCCTGATTCATACAGCTCAGCGACTCGATCGACGAGGCCAAGCTCGTGTTGACGTTCATCGACCCGCCTGCTCCTCCCCCGCGCATCATCATCATCGTCATCGTCGGAGGCTCCAGGCTGAACCCCAACGGAGGACTAGGAGTAGGAGCGGAAACCGCGGCGTCGAAAGAGAATTGATTGTGGAGGTTGTAATTGGGCATGAGGGAGAGGTCTTTGAGGTTGAAGTCCATCTGAGGAGGAGGAGGAGGGGAGTTGAGGCCTCCGGCGGGATGGTGGAAGAATTTGAAACCTCCGATCTCGGAAGAAGAAGTGGTGGCGGCGGCGGAGGAGGAGGAGGAGGAGGAGGGTTTGAGCTGCTGCTGCTTCTTGGACTTGCGGGAGGCGCCGCCGATTGGGACGTTGCGGAGGGCGCCGCCTTTGGTCCAGTAGCGGCGGCAGGTCTTGCAGAAGTGGCGGGGCTGGCTCAGGCTGTAGTTATTGTAGTAGCAGAACTTGGTGTTCGGGGAGTCGCAGCGAGGGCACTTGATCACCACCCCCAACTGCTGCTGCTGCTGCTGCTGCTGATCCGACGTCGCTTGGCGTGCTGGGGATGGAGACGACGTCGTCGTTGCTGCTCCTGGCGGTGGCTTGTTGCTGCCGTGATCTGAAGCCATGTTGGTGGATGCGCGTGGGTGAATACTGGAAACAAGAGAGCTAGGTAGCTAGCTAGGTAGCTTTTAGAAAGCTAGATGTGAAGGGTTATTGATGGGTTTCATGTGAGAGGTTGGTTTGTTGTGGCAGCTTGTGAAGGTCATGAAAAGGGTGAAGGTGGGTGGAGTTTTTGGTTTTTAGGGTATGGATCTGAAGGGGTATAATGGGGATATCGAAAAGGTGGTGGTGGAGAGGAGAGGAGAGAGGAGAGAGGAGAGAGGAGGGAAAAGAAAAGGGGGAAGCTGGCTGGCTGGCTGGGAAGGAGAGGGTTACGTTTTGGGCCGGTTGGGGTTTGGTTTATATACAGCGGAAAACATGTGGAGAGAGAGAAATGCAATGTATGCATTCATTCATTTCATGAAGGAGACAAACCAAGGAAACACACACAAAAAAGGGTAATGATGATATCAGAATGAAACCGATGAATGATGATGATCAACATCAGCTGGCAGGCGGCCAGGCAGGTGAAGGAAAGAGTGTGGAACGGGTGAGTAGGCGAGGCGGGTAGCTCAATACTCATATACATACGCAAAATTATACCAATTGTATGTTGGTGTTAGTAATATCTGTGAGGGTATGAATGTAAAATAGTGATTTTTTTTTAGTTTTTATGATAAAACGAAAAGAAAATACTTTATGAATGTAAAATAGTGATAATAAAATGGGTATAATTGAGTGCAACTAGTTGAAAATCAAGTCTAACTAGTTTTTAAAAAAATGTCAAAATAGGAAAACTATGATTAGATATAGTAAGAAAGTGATATATAATGGGCAAAGAATGGGACAGGATGGGTTGGAAGCAGATACCCATGTCCTGCCGCACACTACTGAGAGTCGGGTAACCCGTCACATCGCGGATCAGGTTGTGTAATACACGACGGAAAAGGTTCAAATTGTCATCTCTAGAGTAACCCAACTATGGTGCTCATAGGATGTTTATGAGAATGCGTTTATAATATTTAGTGTTTTTTGGATTAGGGGTAGACAGTACTCCTCAACCATTAGAGCGACGAGATTTTATTTATAAAATTGTCATTGTGCCTATCTGATAGTAACCGAGAATTCACTGTTAATCCGACGAATACAAGGCATTGGGAGTATGTCATAAACCAGTTGGTCCCAATACCTCGAGTTGTTGGGAGAAGGTTATGTTGGATCTTATACATGCCCGTGTATGGTGCTTAACCACTTCCTTACACGCCCCCTCAAACGAAAGTCGACTTATGGGCTTGAAGTTTACACAGCCCCAGCCCTACCATGTGCTTGAAAGACAACAATGAATATTGGGGGTCGTGAGGACTTGAACACGTGACCTCACGAACAAACTAGCTCTGATACCATGTCAAGATTACAGAAAGGTAAGAGAAGACTTTGATTTACGTGGTTCTTCCTCACGTTGTGTGAGGCTTACATCCACGGGAAACGATCGTGATTTTATTGCTTAGTTCGGCTTGATGGAACAAGCCATATTTATATCCCATGTTACATTGTCATCTAGGGTTACATATGGAGGGTTGCCCTCTTGAATGGGCCACGTGATAACATGGGCTGCATGGCCACAAGGTTGGCATCTTCATTAGCTGGATGTCAATAATGCATTTCTGTATGGCTATCCCTCAAGGTTTTCACCAACCAAGGGACACTCGTGTTTGTAGGCTTCATTAATCTCTTTATGGCCTCAAACAGGCCTCCCGCAATTGGTACCAGAAGTTCACTACTGCACTGGTCGATTTTGGTTTCCGTTCTTCTCTAGCGGATGCGTCTCTATTTATCTATCAGCGGGGGAGCACCTTCGTGACGACACTTATTTATGTCGATGATGTGCTCTTGGCCGGAAATGATCTTCCTTTTATCTCCCGTGTCAAGCAGTTTCTCGACGCGCGGTTTAGTATCAAGGATCTGGGCCCTATGCGGTACTTCCTGGGCATTGAAATTGCACGTATTGAATCCGATGTTGTTCTTAATCAGCGTAAGTATGCACTGGATATATCGTAAGATGTCGGCGTTCAGGGGTCTTGTCCCAGTCCTTTTCCCATTGAACATAATCATCAACTCACTCGTCCTTCCGACGACGTTCTCTCGGATCCCTCAGAGTATCGGAGGCTGGTCGGGCGTCTTTTGTACCTGACGATCACTCGCCCTGATATTACCTATGCTGTCAACATCCTCAGTCGGTTTGTTCATGCTCCTACACAGATGCATTTGGATGCTGCATACAGAGTCCTTCGCTATCTCAAAGCCAGTCCTGGTCAAGGTATTTTCTTTCTCGCCGACAATCCTCTTCGCCTTACAACTTACTGTGATGCGGATTGGGGCGGATGTCAGAGTACTCGTCGCTCCACAACGGGATATTTCATCTCTCTGGGCGGTGCTCCCATATCATGCGCACCAAACGTCAGCGCGTAGTTGCTCGGTCTTCAGCCGAGGGCGAATATCGTGCTATGGCGAGCACGGTTAGTGAAATTATTTGGCTTCGGTGGTTACTTCGAGAACTAGGGGCTCCTCAGACTGATCCTAAACCTTTACACTGTGATAACCAGGCCGCTCTCCACATTGCTAATAATCATGTATTCCATGAGCGTACTAAGCATGTGAAAATGGATTGCTACTTTGTCAGGGAGCGCATTCAGACTGGGGACATCCATCCTGTCAAGGTCCGTACGAAACCCCAGTTCGCAGACCTCCTCACCAAAGGACTTGGCACAAATAGCTTCCGCTTCTTACTCTCCAAGCTGCACGTTCGTGACCTCCACGCTCCAGCTTGCGGGGGAGTATTGGACCGAGATCCCTCGGCTTTCATAAGCCCATGCAGTGGCCATGCATCCCATGTTATCACGTTGTCCACTCAAGAGGGCAACCCTCCATATGTAACCCTAGATGACAATGTAACAGGGATATAAATATGGCTTGTTCCATCAAGCCGAACTAAACAATAAAATCACAATCGTTTCCCATGGATGTAAGCCTCATACAGCGTGAGGAAGAACCACGTAAATCAAAGTCTTCTCTTACATTTCTGTAATCTTTTCAGAGTACGTTCTCAAAGATTACATGCGAGCACAATCAATGACAAAATGGAATGTGAGGGTCTGAGGGACGAGAGAATTCCCCACAATTAATTCAATATATATATATATGTATGTTCTACCAATTCATTCATCATTTTCAATTTTTTCATTCACATTGTCATGCTTGATTTTATTACATTTTTTAAATGAAGTATACGAAACATGACCGTCTGATATTTTTTACAATAGATCCCTTCAATTACCAATACATATACATCATGCACGTAATTGATCAAAGCCAACTTATAAATCAAACAAAATAATATTCATAGAAAACAAAGAAATTAAGAGTAAAGAAATTAATCACCAAATATACTACCGTATGTGAGAGGGGTGCCCCTTGAATTCGTTATGTCGATCTCAAACTTACGTACGTACTTACACAAAAGGCGGCTGAAAATGTACAAAGACGAGCCATTAATTTCTTAGATTGGGCACGTACCAAAGGTCCAAAAGCTGCTTTCTTGGTATGTGGTTGCCCCTTTTTTTTCTTTTTGGTTATAATCTAATGTTCAAGGTCACTTTTGTTTATTATTAGAGAAATAATAAATAGTTTGTTTCCTTCAAATTAGTTCAAAGTTTCGGGACGTTTCTGCTTTCTATGCTACTGAAGCCAGCTGCTTTTATAAATTCCTCCTTTTTCTTAATGTATCAACAACTAACAAAAAGAAACTAAAGACACGCAAAAGGAAAAGGGTAGTTCTTGTTACTTTTAGTTATTTTGTTTGTTTCCTCCACCTCACTTTCACTTATGTTATAGTTTGGTATGAAAATGTGGATTTTGACCATTTTCCTATTTAAAGATGAATTTCCAATATGGAATTCTGATTGCAAATAAAAAGTTTAACTACCCTACAAAATTTATTGTTTTTATTTACTAAAGATAATTATAATAAATTGTATGGTAAATTTTTTATTTCAAGCTGCAAACATAGCGTGAGCTAGTGAGATTGGAAATCTTTTAAATATTGGACATGAATTTGTATACCACTAGGCCTCCAAATTAATAAAAATATGTTTTTAATAACAAAAGATGTTTTCTATACCATATTATAATAAAAAAATTTGAATAAAATGTTTACCATTATCATCTAAGCGCTAACAATATATTTTTATAAATGCGATAACGTTTTTTTTTTATAAATGTGTTTCATAATACTTATGGATGGTTTGGAGAAGGGATTTCAAATCTCTAAATTAAAAAAAATACAAAGATTTCAACTTTTTGGATTGTCAAAAAAATATTTTTAAATCATCAATTGGTCATATTTTGGTAACTGAAAGATTTAACCATGCTGTTGTTGTTGTTGCCGAAAAAACACAAAAGAAATGCACATCCTCTCTCTCTCTGAACTTTTTCTCTGAATTCTCGTTTTCGCAATGGCGGTGGCGCCGCCAAGCGCAGACCGCCGTGCATGTTAGCTGGGCTTCTCTTTTTGAGGTGAATCCGGCAAACAAAATGACGTATCGACCTCCTTAGAAGAAGGATGATGATTTTCGCCTTCCTCGCGAAGTCAAGAAGAGGGGCGAGGAGAGGTGGAAAGATTGTCTTATCGCTCAATTCGTTGGGTCTGTGCCCAAACCGGTAGCTCTTCAGCAGTGGGCTACTAGTCAGTGGGGGAGAGACGGGGTTGTTCTTGTATGTAAGTTTGGTCCTCGATTGATGGTCTTTCAATTTCCATCTGCAACCACTGGCAAATGGGTGTTCAAGTCAGGCTCGTGGCATTTTCAAGGTAATCCAGTTTATTTTAGGAAGTAGTTTCTTGGGATTCAACCGGTTATCCCGGTTGTTGAAACCTTGCCAATTTGGGTTAAGATTTGGGGTATTCCTCTTGAGTACCATTCGTTTGAGGGTCATGAATGGATTGCAAGTACGATAGGGTCTCCGCTCTGGATGGATCAGACCACTAGGGTTGGGGCTCAAATGGGTGTTGCCAAAGTTTGTGTTGATCTGGCTGTTGACTGTGGGTTTCCTGATAAAGTTCGGCTCTATCTGGATGATGATCCTTCATTTGAAGTTGAGATTGAGTACCTCAATAAGCCTCTGGTTTGTAGCATATGTGAGATTTATGGTCATAATTGTGATTGCCTTGCAAAGAGTGGGAAGCAATGGGTTCCTAAATTGAAGGTAGCTACTGAGCATATTGAAGCTGATCCTCTGCTTGCTATTGAACAAGTTCAGGAAGCTAGTGATAAGGG